GATGCTCTCTGCTGAGCTAATGCGCGATTGGATCTCTAGTCTTGAGAAGGCTAATAGCGCAGCCTCAGCGCGTAGGCGGCGCTCTAAAAGGCGTATACAGAAGCATGGAGTACTTACAAAGGGAGCTGGAGAGGATATACTGGCTTAAAATGAGGCTGACCAGCAGATTGCTCATAAAGAGCGTCAAGGAGGAGCGCGATCAGGCCTCAGCCAGCGCGCTCAAAGGCGCTGCACTAGGTGTAAAGAGACTGGGCACAACTCGCGCACATGCAACGCTGATACTATTAATATAGAGTAGTCTACTATATTAATATCTAGCAATAATATTATCACGTTGTTGAGATATATCGCTTTAAAGTTGCAAAAGTTGGTAGGGTGACCAACTTGCTTGTCTGACTGACTCGCTTGCCAACCATGTTATATATATAATCTATTAAGCTACTAACACCTACCTAGTAACTAGAAACAGATTCCTTTCATAAGGATAAAGCCCTAGCAGAGCTATTACTACAAGACAAAGCAGACCTGCTAGGCTACTATCACAGACAGAAGATACAGGATAGCTATCCTACCCCTCTATTAACACTGCCACCTGCAGCACTACTTGCAGGCATTATGGCTAGTAATTAAACAACTCTGACGCAATAAGCGTCCTTAACTACTGTCCTGTGGGCAGCATTATTCCTTGCAGGAACCTAAGCTAGACGTGTTAGAATATACAGAGGATAAGTTATAGACAAGGCTAAGATAATAAGAATACTTACTAAAGGCTTAAAGCCCTATTAAAGTTAACTTCTACCTCTACCTATATTCTAAACTAAGCTTAAGGATTACCCTATAGGTAAACTCTTTTAAGAAGCTAAGTAAGAGCACCTTATAAGCTACTAAGAAATAAAATTATAGTTAGAAGTACTACTTTAGAAAATTAGACTAATAGGACAATAGATCCTTAACTGCATATAGGTATATACCTATAAGCTTAATAGACATTATTAACTGCTAAAGTGCAAGGCACAACTAGTAGTTAGAGGTAGGCTGGCGTAGGCTGGCGGATGGGTAGGGTATGCTTTTTTACGTTTTGGCTTATAGCTTCTTAACTAGCAGAGATACGCTTACATAATCTATTATACAATAGAAGCGCCCAGTATTGCGCCTTCTAATAAAAAAAGAATTAGCTAATTCTGCCTAGTATTAGCTAAGTTATTAACACTACCTAGCAAAGTATACCTATTAATAGGTATGCTCGCTAGGTACCCCCCCTTTTTTGACGTTTTCTAGCCTCTAGCTTGTGCAGTTTAATAGTTATAACAAAACCCTCTACTACAGAAATGTAGAGGTAGTTTTTCTCTTTCTTTTAAGCCCTATTTCGCTAGAATCCTTGTATTATTGACAAAGTTTTGGGGGGTACCCACGAAGGACGTTGGAGTATACCCATTCCGCCAGCCTAGTTAGAGGTAATTAACAACGCATTATTACATTATAAGACACCTACGCAGCCACGCTTGCTAGCTAATCCTTTTAAATAATGATGGCTATGGCAGCTCACTATAATATAGAGCTTAAACAATACAACGTTACTAACATGTTTGTTCATGCTACAATGGACAGAGAGGTCTACATGAGGATGCCACAAGGCTATTAGAAGCCTGGCACAATACTGCAAGTAAACAAGGCACTTTACAGCCTGCACATCTCTCCCCTCCTCTAGCAGAAGAACTTTACTACAACACTAAAAGCACTAGGTTTCTAGACTATGCCTTACAAACCCTACTGTCTAACTAAGGGCAGTATTATTATCCTCTTTTATATTAATAATATTATCCTTATATATAATAAATTAAAAGAGTAAGAGGCAATGCAGACAATTAGCTACGTACATCGGGAAAAGTTTTTCCGTTGTCAAAATTGGGAAATTGTGGCATTGTACTGTGGGCAACAGTAGGACTTGTAGGCCTATAACAGTTATTTAATGTGCATTTAATGTCTAGCCAATTTAAAGCTAACAGCTCTAACAGTCCTAACAGCTGCAATGGCCACAACAACTCCTAATCCTGCTACAATAGTAGCTCTACTTAATAAACTATACTTTTATTATATTAATATACAACTAAGTCTCCTCTTTAAAATAAGCTATTAAACAACATTATAGGCCTAGTAATAGAATAGTTATTAAGCGTAGAAGGTTTTAAGCTTGATGTTCCTTGCCAAGACACTAAGTTAAGATTCTTCGCTAGGGCTCTAGCAGCCTGAATGTTAGAAAATATAAGAATATTATTCAAGAATAGTGGGTAAACTCCCATTGATTATACAAACAAAGGCAGTGTATTTGTTCGCTTTGCCTATGTAAATTTTAGCGTGAGCACAGACACTTGACTGTATTTATTCACTTTTTTGGTGTGAATTTGTTTACTGTTCCTAAGGTTAAAACTATATATAACACTTATAAAACCTGTAGAAAGTGTGTCCTAATTATATGTTTAATTTTAGGAGAGATTAAAGATAAGAAGGGTAAGTAAAATAGAGGTAGAGTTTAGGGGTTAATGTTCGCAATGTTAGGGGGCACTATTAATAAGGTGTGTAGCACAATGTACAGTTAAGCACAAGCAGAGTTAATATTTACTCTACAGGATAGAATAATTTAAGCAAAGTTTACTAACGCAAGCGCAGAGCTGGCGTAGGAGTCTTTAGCAATGCGTGACTTTGCTTTGTAATACTGTTGTTAACGCTGTTGTCTGTGTTGTTATCTTTGCTATCTTGAATCTCTTCCACCTCGTAGATGGTTACTGGCGCCTCTGCCTCAATACACAGCGTTTGCTTCTCATTAATAGGCCCGCCAGCAATTCCGTCCGGCCCTAACCAGCTCTCAAGTGCCTTGCTAGCTGCGCAGATGTCTGGACGCTCCTTCTTAAGAAGCTCAATCCAGACATGCAGCTGGCCAACACGAAGCTTGCGTTCTATCCAGCGATTCGCAATCTCGTCGTGTGGTATCAGGGTCAGAATGCCCCAGCCTAGCTCCTGACTAATGGAGTACCAGCGCATAGCTTGGCCTAACCATTGTCTAAACACCTGCTTGTCCTTGTCAGTGGCGTTGGGAGTAACTAACTCTACTAGCGCTGCAACTGCCTCTGTGCAGATTTGTCCCTTTCCGTATTAATTTCGCGTCCTGTTGTTGGTAGATACAAAGTCGTCATGCCGGATCTGCGCTATCTTGTTGGAGTATGCTTGGCCTAGGAGAGCCGACGCCCATTGAGACTCAATATGGACAGCTGCTAACTCTGCTTTGTAACGTGTGCACATGTTCCAGGCAAAGCAGAAATCCCTGTCAGCATCGTTGCGCACACTTAGCAGCTGCAAGCGCTTAGCTTCTGCACCCGTCCTGCTCTGGCTGCTAGCGAGCTCGCCGCCACCTCTAAAGGGTGAGCCACGTTCTCGCCAAGCGTGCAGGAACTGGGCAGCGTGGTAACGAGAGGACTGGTTTCCAAGCACGCGCGCTTTCTCTAGAAGGGTGCAGGCTGTGAGGTAGGGAGTTTGGGTGGAGCTGTAGAAGTCCGTGTCATTGGAGACTGGCTGCTTGATGATCCAGGCGACGACAGACTCGTCCTTTTGCACAATAGAGGTGTAGGCAGCCTGCTCTGGAAGAGAAGCCTTATTGCCAGGTGCTACCAGACCAAGGGCAAGCCGCTTCTTAGCACGCGAAGTGGCGAGTGTCTTGCTGCGTTTTTGCTCCACACGGCAGTTGTTGTTAGAGATAGTAGTGGTGTGCAGAGGGGAGTCTTTCAGCTGTTCATCCGGTCCGCTAGGCTGTGACAGCTAAGGGCTGGCTAGATGCGTCTTGTTGGTGGTTGTTCGAGCGCGCTTTAGTGTAGGGGCCAGCGCAGGTAGGGGTGGCCGCTTCTTTTGTTGCGGGGGTGGAGCGGAGGCCTGTTGTGAAGGGGAAGCAAAAGGCTTCTGCGCAGACGGCGGCTCTTCCATCCTGTCCTCCGCAAGCGACTCAGCCGCGCAGACAAGATGATGCCAGGCATCGTTGGATAGAGCGTCGTCGGCGAGCGTCTCTCGCAGCAGCCAGATCGCTGACAAGACAGAGTGGGCAACGAAGACGGGCTTGCAGACGCTAGCATCGTCAGGGTTGGGGATCAGCCACCCTGCGCTGTGTGGGGTAGCATCTCTGTTGCGCTGCGAGCGTGAGATGCTCGCCTGGCAGAAGAAGAGCTTCTTGTAGTCCTCATTCGGCGGCTTGTACGCGTAGTTGCGAACGAAATCAGCTTCGCTGGCTAGAGGAAAGCTCTGATGACCACCATCAAACTGCTCTGCAGCGCTGTCTAATACTGCCAACCAGTGCATTATCAACTTGTGTACTGCGAATAAGGTTGCAAGTAGAAGTTCAGACAGAGGTTGCGCGAGAAGGGGGATTGGTGTAGTTAAGGTTCTGACGCAGCTACACCACAGCACTGAAAGTCAGGCCGCGCACAGAGGTACCACAACGCCCTTAACTAACCAGCGTTGGCAGAACTAGGAGCGCAATTAAACTAAAACAAGACTAATAAGCAATTCGTTAATCTATATACTAGGGCAGAGCAAACACAGGGCCAACAGACGTATTGCATAGCGCCTACTTGTGTCCCTTCTGCTCCTTACACTATAGAACAATTTGCGCAGCTGTTTAAACACTGGCCTAAACTTTAAGTAGTAGTCTGTAAACTATGTGCCACTACTATTCCACCAGCGCAGATTGTTACACACCTTAAAGAGCGCTATCCCAAGGTCACAGTCGCTACGCGCAAGAGCCTGGTAGCCACTGCACACGCGCTACCAAACCTTGCGTGGAGCCTAGGAGACGTGCGTGTACCAAAGCCAGCTAAAGAGCCCATCTTTAGTCTAAAAAGCTGAGAGGACAGGCTAGCATGCTTGTTAGAGCGTTGTTGGTATACCTACATCTTGCTGCAGGGCATTCAGAAACATTGCAAGGATGAGCATAGCTGGGTGAACAAACAAAAGCAAGGGGGAGATATGAGGCAAAAGAGCAAGCACTTGCGCCACCGAGTATGGTGAGACAGCCAATCCTGCCAGCGCTTGTTCAGAGCTGCTGGCTAGCCGGCGTATGTTGCAGTCAAGACGAGCGTTAGAGCCGCGAATCTAGTAGACATGCCCCAGAGAGTCAAGGCAGATCGCCAGCATCAGCGAGAAGAGCGTGAGGTAGCAGCAGCGCAGGATAAGATCAAAGAGGGCATCCGTTCGCAGGCTGATCCGTGGCTAGAGCTCACAGAATAGGTCCCGCACCTACAAGGTATCCCAAGGGCGGCACTTCTGCGCGCTAAACAGCTAGCTGGTGGGGAGGTAGATGCGCGTGGGAAGGAAGAAGTGGCGTTTGACAACACGGGCTTACGCGATGTTTGCAAAGCTATAGAGCGGCTGATACGAAAAGCGTTTGATAGCAGCCAAGCTGAGGTGGTCAGCAGACTTGCACTGGAGATGATTGAGCGACGTGAGGCAGGCGCAGAATCAAACAAGCGGCCCTTCTACGCTAGGCATCAAGTTAGTACCATCAAAAAGTACAGCCAGAAGCTGGTGAGCGTCCTCTGCTACCTGTGGCGCACCTATGACCAGGTTGAGCAGCCGCCATACCAACTTACCAGCACGCAAGACGCCCTCTTGTGGTCACTCCAGCAAATAGCCCGCTCAGACGACGCTGCGAAGAAGGAGAAACTGGAAGAGCGATGCCTGCGCTTTTGGATTGCCTTGCTTGACCACAGCCTGACAGGCAACAAGCACGAGAGCGCACTGCTGAGCAGAGTGGCTGTCCTCGGCCTCAAGCCTGATCACTATGGCGGTGGGTGGGTTCCAGCGCACGAGTTCTCGCCAACGCTGTCCACTTTGATCACTACCTCGAAAACGCTCGTAGTGCATTGTGCCTGCTGCCAGCGAGATAAAGCGCTTCAGAAGGACCCTGTTACAGCCCCTACTGCGTATGAGCTAGTTAAAGACATGTTAGAACAGTTTATGACGCTGTCCAACTTCAAAGGCACACCCAGTCCTATAAATCAAATGCTCTGCTTGCGTACGCTGGCTAGAGCACAGGCAAGGCAACGTAATACTCCTAGTATCGTGTTGTGGGACAGAGACCAACTTCTCATTGACAAGCAGAGCTTTTCGCTAGCCAATCTCCAGTTGATGGTGAAGGGACTCTGCAAGACAGTGCGGTTGCAGCTATTTAAGGACGTCCTACTCTTGGATCTAGACGAAAGGGGTTGCGTGTGACCTAGGACCACCACGCTTCTAGAGGTGTCTGTGGACAAACTCGTCGATCAGCCAGCTAAGCTGGCTACAGGCTGGAGCTTTCTGAAGCACCCCAACAACCAGCTAGATAGATAGCAAGACTGGCTTCTAGACCGGGTGTTGGAGGAGGCTCCACTAAGGGAGAGATTCATTTGTGGGATAGATAGCACACAACAGCCAGAACAGACGCTATGGCGCGATGACGCAGTAGCTAGGTACATGAAAGGAGTGCGTTGGTTTAAAGAAGGCCTCTTCACGCTTGTTCACATGTCTGGCAGCAGGCCTGGTTGCGGGACAGAGATCACCTTGATACAGTGCGAGAACAGTGCAGACAGGGTGGGGTATCAGGGGGTGTTTGTAGAGGGGGGCCTGGTATCCTTCACCACTACGTACCACAAGGGGTATAGCTTCAGCAAGCGTGTCAAGACGATCCACCGCTATGTTCCCCAGGAGGTGGGTGAGCTGGTGGTTTACTTCCTTGGGCTCGGTCGACCGTTTATAGATGATCTCCAGATGCTGCACAATGGCGTTGCCCGCCCTACCGCTTTCATCTGGGAGCCAGAGCTGGAGGAGCAGTGGGGCGACGAGAGCGATAGCGAAGAGAGCGACAATGGAGACAAGTACAGCAAAGCCAACCGTGAGAAGGCACGATCAGCTAACCCAGACAGGTACTGGGGCACCAATTGCATACGACGTGTCCTGCGCGAACAGACCTTCCAGTACATGAACGCCGCTCTCGGCACCCGCGCCTGGCGACATGCCTACCCAGCCATCCACCGAGAGCTGGCAAGAGATGGACAAGCACGCGACTGGTTGGAAGTGCTCTACTAGAACAAAACACCAACTAAAAACAACGCGCAAGCGTTGCAGTCTGGTCACAGCCTGGAAACAGAGGAGGGCCACTACAGCCGCTCCATGATGGAGTCTCCCTTTCAGACCATGGCCGAGCGGGAGGCGTTCTGGCGGGTGAGCATGGACTGGCATCGCGTGCTGGAGTTTGCATCCGCCTGGGAGGACGGCCGCATGCACCCCGGTGTTCGCGCGGAGATGGTAGCGCAGCAAGAGAAGCAGGCGCTCCAGCGCTGGTCGTCGCTCGCGATGGTGGACCTCAAGGCAGAGTTCAGGCGACTCGCTGGACAGCCGGACGCTGAGTATCGTGGCAAGCAAGAAGAAAGCCTCGAGGCTGTGATGCAGCGACGGCTGCGCGTGCTAGTCGTCATGGCTACCAGCACCGGCAAGAGTATGCTGTTCATGCTGCCCGCGTCCGTCTCGCCAGGCGGCGTCTCCGTGGTCGTGGCCCTGTTGAATGCCTTGCGAGACGATCTGCAAGATCGCTGCGACCAGCTCAGCATCCCCTGCGCGAAGTGGGATGGAAGAAGACCGCCGTACTGGGCTCGTATTGTGCTGGTGACGCCTGAGAGCGCAGTCACAAAGGCATTTGGCAGGTTCCTTGACGAAAAGCGCATGCTCCATCAGCTAGATTGTATCGTGATAGACGAGTGCCACGTGCTGCTGGAGTCGACACAGGACTAGCGGCCAGACCTCCTCAAGATGGTGGAGATGACGGAGAAGGGAACGCAGGTTGTCTACCTGACTGCAACCTTGCCGCCCACGCTGCAGCCCGCCTTCTTGCACACCGCAGGGCTTGATGCCCAGACGGTAACAATATGCCGCGATGAACGCACCACGCGAACGAACATTGCGTACCAGGTGCTGGAGTACACACGTGGCACGCTAGAAAAAGTACTCATTGAGCTCGTGGCTGCAAAGAGGAGTAGGTACAGACCTAAGGCGCAGATCATTGTCTATTGTCCAACTGTGGACGAGACAAAGCGGCTTACAAAGCTTCTGCAGTGCTCTGCATACTACCGCCAGATAGGCTCAGACAAGGAAAAGGCACGCATGGTGCAAAGCTTCACCCTAGGCATGAGAAGCTTTGTATAGCCACGAACATGCTAGGTCTTGGGCTCAACGCTGCAGGCGTCTGGGTGGTGATCCACGTTGCTATGTGTCCCCTGCTGCTCCAATATGTGCAAGAGAGCGGCCGGGCGGGACGAACAGGGCTCAACAGCGAGTCCATTGTTATGAGAGCGTGCTATGTAACGAAAGAGGGGAGGGTAGAGAAGGCGCTTGGCTACAAGCTAGAGCGACCTGCAAAGGAGTTCATGACAGTCAAATCCTGTCAGCGAATCGCAATAGACAAGCACATGGACGGCAGACAGAATAGGCAGCAATGCGAGATGGGAGAGTTGAAGTGTGATCTATGCGAGCGACACCCCAGTGGTACCAAGCAACAAGCCATCAAAGAAGAGCAGGAAGAGCCAGAGGAGACGCAGGCCGACACCGCGGCGGTGGCAGCAGAGGAGCAGCGCAGATATCTAGAGCGAGCTATGGTCGTTGAAGAGCGGAGGGTTGAGATCTGGCAACAGCGAAGGACGGAACAAAAAGTATATGACCTGGAGCGGCTAGAGCAGCACTTCCAGCGCTGGAGCCATGCGTGCGCTATCTGCATGGCCACTCAGGCTGACCTAGCGCGCCACAACTAGAAGGACTGTTCAAAGGCCAGCGAAGCGCAGATGACATTAATAGAGTCTAAGGTGAAATCTATGTACCAAGTGAAGTAGGAGAAGTATGCGTGGTGTTTTTACTGCTAGGCGCCGCAAGCTATCTGCAACAAGTAGGAGGAAACAAGCATACAGGGTGCGTTTAAGACACGAGGGATGCATATGCCTTGCTAGTATGATGGAGTGCTCTAGAGAGCAGTAGCTGCGCTGCTTGCCTGCCAGCCACTGATGTGCACGCCATGGCTGGAGCAGTAGATGCAAGACGCCGCGATTGTGCACGGTAGCGATGAGCTCCGGCTTTACAAGTGGCTCAGATTGAAGATCAAGATAGGCCAGAGAGACGCGAGCCAGATGTGTCGTTTGCTATATGCTTAGGAGGAGGGGCATGTACAGTCGTATTTAGCAGACTAGAAAGAATGTGTTTAATATAACTGTAACCTAAAACCTTAGGTTAGGAGAAGCTAGGAGAAACGTGCTGTACGCTAACTTGCAACTGTACAGTGATTACAAGTAAGGTGCTCTAAACAAGTAAGGTGCTTAAGTAAAAGGGTAGGTGGTAGGCCCTTTAGGTGTTACAAAGAAGCTAAGCGCAGCAGTACAGAGGAAAAGGGGTAGGTAGTAGGCCTGTAAGGAAGGAAAGGAGGGTGCCTGCAAGGGCAACCTGTGAAGAGGTGAAAGTAAGAAGAGTAAAGGGGTAGGGGGTAGGCCTGTAAGGAAGGAAAGGAGGGTGCCTGCAAGGGCAACCCGTGAAGAGGTGAAAGTAAGAAGAGTAAAGGGGTAGGGGGTGGGCCTGTAAGGAAGGAAAGGAGGGTGCCCGCAAGGGCAACCTGTAAAGAGGTGCTGTAAACAACTAAGGTGCTGTAAACAAGTAGAGTAAACTAGCTAGAGTAGCTAGTAGTAGGGTGTTTAGTTATAACAAAAGAGTTAGAGGCAGTAGTAGAGTAGAGTTTAGGGCGCGTTAGGGCAAAAAGACTAAGCAAAGAGGCGTAGGTAAGTAGTAGAGAGGAAAGAGCTGTTAAGAAGAGAAAGAAAAAAAAAAGGGGATAGTGGTAGGCCCTGTTAGGGCAGAAGAGCAGGGCGAAGACCTGTTAAGGAGAAGAGGGTAGTTAAGGAGAAGAGGGTAGTTAAGGAGAAGAGAGTAGTTAAGGAGAAGAGGGTAAGAGAGAAAGAGGGGTAGGTAGTAGGCCTGTTCAATGTTACAAAGAGTAAAGAGAAGAGAGAAGAAGCAAGAGGTAAGAGAAGAAAGTTAAGTTTTTTTAAGAAAAGAATAGAAAAGTAAGTGTAAAAAGAAAAAGAGTATTTAAAAGAAGATTTGCATTAATAAGAGTTTATAAGTTTTTTAAAAAAAAGAAGAAAATTAGAAGAGTTTATTATAACGTAGATTATCACCGAGCCGGCTATATCACCGAACCGGCCATTTTCTCTTGGCACGACTAACACAAGTTACTGCAACTACAACTACTCGCTATTAAACAGTGACCTAGTATACTGCGTGCTTGCATCAGATTCAGAAGATGTTTCTGCACCCTCCTGGCACGTTCGTGCGTTGTGTCCAGTTTTGCTGCAGTTCCCACAGCGCCGAACAGTTGACTGAGCTCCTAGTTGACCACCTCCACCCCGAGTCTTCTTAGATGGCTGAGCTGCTACACACGCCTCAGCAGCTACCCGCGATGCTGCTGGGCCATACTCAAGTGTGCCACCATGCTGAATCTGCTTTCTCTTACGCGATTTTCTCTTAGTCATTACTGCTAATTGCTCTTCAAGCTCTCGCACGTGGGCCTTGATAAGGACGTTTTCGTGCAGCATCTCTTCAGCCCCTTTTACAAGCTTTGAGAACCCCTCTTGCGCTGCACTTGGCGATTGTTGGAAGGAGTCGCTTACAAGCTTGGATTGAGACCCAAACTCGTGTGTATTGCTTGGCGTCTTGGATTGCCACAGCGTTTCGGGTAGAGGTACTGCTGGTGGGGTATGCAGCCGCACTTCAAGGCGATCTAACACCACCTGCGCGTTAGTAGGAACAAGCCCTGATGCC